CCATTTCCCATTGCAGCAGAGGCCTCAGAGAGGCGGTTTTCTTGAGAGTCTAATGGAGACAGCCTTGGATTGAAATGAGAGTAGGAAAAATATATTTTAATGACTTAAAAGTTAGAAAATGGCACAAAACAAATGCAAGGTTAAAGAGTACGTGAAATAATATGCCATTCACTATGAAAAGGGTACATCGAATAACCATACATAAGAAGTGGATTGTAAGAAGGCCAGCCCGTGAGCAGGCCAGCAGGACAGCCCTGACCATCATCTCCTCTTAGAGATTACATGCGGAGGAACATGGACTGTTTCTACTGGGATGAAATTCTGCCGAGATGTACTTAAACAGCAAGTACTGCTTATTCGGAGCAAAAACAATGTAAGCCAGGTGATGAGAAGAATGTAGAAATCATAACCTTTCCTGCCATGACTCCTCCAGGAGAAAAACATCTGATTGCTTTAAATAATTGTTTTAAAAAAATGGCAGGTGGTGGTAATTTTAGGTGTGTATTTACAAAGCTGCCCCACACATATTGCCCTGCCATGAAAATATTTCTATTTTTTCTCCAAAGAATTAACATAAATTCAAAAGATTGACTTGTGCAGGGTCACTAGGAGGCTAAGTGTGCTACTGTGTCTTCTCTGTGAGACTCAGTTCTGGGCCTTAGGGACCTTCTCCTCAAATTGCCCCAGACATCATATTCCCCTAAATCACAGATCAGATCCTGTTGATCAAAGATAACTGCATATGTTGGGAGGCTTGGAGGACATGGCTAAAAATGTAACAAAATGACTCCAGCTATATAGAATCATGAAGTTTCTAAGCCACTGCAGATTTCAGAACAAAATGAAATTACCAGGGTAGAACACGTTTAAAACATACACACACAAAAGGGCTCTGAATTTTGACATAATATCTCCTAAGGAGAAAAAGAATAGATTGCAACCAAGATGAAGCTTTTAATTTCCTGTTGTGGAAGTGAAAAGCCAAGGACTGTTGTGGAACTGGCATCCCGTCAAATTCACAGATGAGCCAGACCCTCCTTGATTCATCATCCCTCCCCCATCCTACAGGGATCTCCAAAGAGCCAATCTCAGCCCCTGATGCCTGAAGGGCCTATAGGTACATGTTGGGTCTTGAATTTCCTTTCTGGTCCTTGTTGACCACGGAAGCACCATGCATTGTTGCTTTTGCTCATATTTTCACTTCGTTATTGCTGTTGTGTATTTTAAGTGCAATCTTTCTACTTAGAGATATTCCATGGAAGATAAGTAACTATCATTCATACAAGTAACTGAGGTTCTTTCCGGATATCCCAAAATCATCCTTTTCAGATTTTAAGTCATGTTTGGGCCTCAGGAAACTTTCAAAATAATTTGTTCACTCATATCTCTTCGTAAGTTTCACTTGATTCTCCCTTCTATGTTAGCAGAGAAGGTTCAAGGGTGATGGCCCGCATTGCTATTGAAAACCCCAAGGGGGATGCCCAGCATGCCATCCATTTTATAAGGAATCATGAAGTGGAATTATCCGGGATTATTAAGACTGACCCTGCTGGCTGACTCTGCTTAGACCCAGACAGACGGCCTGCTTTTCATACGAATAGTCCTCCTTTCTTCCCTATGCCTCTAGAAACCAGGCAGAAGTTTTCAATTCTCTGGGAAAATTGTTGAGTGTATATTTTTGCCTTGTATTTGGTTTTAGTTTTCTCTCCATTCTCTAAATGTTTCCTTTTTAACAGTACCTAACTTCCTTTGTAAGTAACTTGGCTTCCCTGAGCTTCTCTTTTCCTTTCTGTTCCTAATGTTCCTTGAAATGAAAATATTTTGCTGTATTTCCTTATTGGTACCTGGGCGGCCTACTCAATGGCTCTTCAGAGACTAGCTGGTGACCTATGGTTCTGTCTGTTGAGGGAGACTGCACATTTTGCATTCTGGCATCTAAACATTGGAGTGAATTTAAAAATGATGACATAAATGGTTAGACAATCATTTCCAGCATGGTGCCACATTCCTTTAATGCAAAAAATCTTCTGTCACCTTGGTCTCATTGATGAGTTTGCCTTTATGAATGCAATACTTCACCTGTAAAGGCTTACCTCCAGTCAAATATTTCTTCTTGAAGACTCTCTACTTTGCAAGGTTATTACACTCCAAATAATGACATTTTCATTGGCTTCAAATTGTGGGTTTAACTTTATTTTCTCCTAAAATTGTGAGCATGGTATGATTGCTCCCTTACTACCATTTAAATATTATTTCCTTATTGGTGATTCCATGAAAATTATGTATGGTCACATCCACTTCATCTGGCATTTCTCTTATGGACCAGAAATCTTCCAAATGGTTCTTTGCATATCATGATCAGATACATTGTTATTGAAATCTCAGGACCACATCTCCCTTCTTGTCACATGTGTATGACTTGTCTTTTGATTTCCCAGTTTAGTGCTTCCTGGTTTAGGGTTGCTGTAATTATTGCATTCAGTAATTGTTCTTTGAGTATAACTCATCTTAGCAAAGACCAGCCCAGATTTCTTACTGTTGACATGGCTTTGACTTGTGTGTTAGTTCTATTGGGTTTCCAAGATAGTCCAAGGAATCCATTAATTCTACCAATCAACCAATCAACAATCTGACTGAAAAAAAAATCTGTCGAACTAGCTACTGATTTAAGCCATTTTATATTGCATTGCTATATACTGTGCAATTACACTGGGATTTATGATATTGTACACTGTGGATTCCAGGCATACTGTAGATCAAATATTTTGTCTCTAGGTTATTACCAGTTTGATGGATTATTTAATTTATAGTGGCCTAACTAATGTGTTGGAATGTGGCTAGGATCTATAGGATAAACAGATGCAACTCCAGTCATCCACCTCATAAGACTCCAACTTAGTATGTGTGATAGGAAATAGATTATAGTATAGAGGTGAAGGGCACTGGATGGTAAGAGGACACCTGAGATCTATCCTAGCTCTCCCACAACACATCTCTTTTAACCCATCTGGGCTTGAGTTTTCTCATCTGTACAGTGGACTACAGTTTCTGAGGCTTCTTCTAGCTCTGAAAAGTTAAGACTCTATCTTCAGTTGGAGATTAGCTGTCCCTTCTTGACTTTGGAAGATGGTATTGACTATTAAAGGATCTTTCAGATTTCTGTTTCTTCTTATCTTTGGTTTCAGAATATAGTTTTATTCAGTCTATGGCAGAAAACATTTCTTAGTGAAATGAACTACTTTTTGCCATGTAACAGGGAATACATGATTAATTTGGTGGAATGACATTGACTCATTTAGGTTGCCTTATTCTTCATGATTTTATTCAGTCATTGGCTTCTAAGACCTCTGGGAGCCTGTGCTCCACACAGACACTAAGAGTCTCTTCCCAGATTCTGGTTGCAGGTGAGAGAGTGATCTTCCCACCATGAACAAGTTAATCCCTGTGGTCCATTAGGAAGGTGACAGCCTGGGGAACCATTTGCCCATTGAGTGCACACGTCTGGAAAATTGCCCTTGGTACAGCAAATATACTGCTCTCAATTTTTCATCCACATCAATGAGAAGTGAGGAGTGGCCCTTTAGCAAGATGTAACTATGCAATAATGTAACAAAGCTGGCTAACAGCACTTCATTTATTACAAGGCTAAATGCTCATAACTGTTTGTAAAGGATGAATTCATAAGCTCTGCAGACTTTGAGTTTATATACAATTGATTTCCATTTACAAAGGCAGAAAGTCCTGTTTTCTCTAAATGTCAAGCTTTGACTTACAAAACTCCCGTTTTCTTTTAGGTTGGTATGTGTATGTGTTTAACTAGATGAGGAGGAAGGGAAATAGAACTTGAAATGTGAGAGAAGGGAAAACACATTTCAGAAATTCTAAACTAACAAAACCCGAAGAACTGAGGGGGAGTCATGGAAGGTATTAACAGAAAAGACACACAGCATATACTTCTTCTTTTATGTGATTCTTCTAGGAGCAGAAGGGACTAGAAAGATTGTATTTTCTCAACAGAAGTGTGAATCTGGAAATTCTCAAGCCAGAATTGGTGTAATTTCATGCTGCAAAGAGGCACTTTGCTTATGCAATTGAAATAAAACATGAAGTGCCTACCTGGGTGTTTGCAGAGTAATTATAAGCAAATAAGACTAATTAGAAGCTTTCATAGTCACTAATTAGAAGCTAGGAAGTGACACTCTGTGGTGCAACAATCTCCATATGTTTGGAAGACTCACATAGAAAGGGTGCACAATTCCTTACCGGGGGCTTTTACTTCCTTCCCCAAGGCCAAAGTCCCTGTTCTAAGAAGCACATCATTTTGGAAGCAGGGATCCAGTGTATGGTTACACAGAAATCTAGCCCTTAACTACACATTTGGGATAATGAGTATAGGAAATAGGGAGAGGTGATATTTTAGTCCAGTTGTGCTTGGAAAATATCATTCGCATGGAATAGGAGCTTACATGGAGCAGGCTGAGGAGCACTTTCAGTTGAAGCAAATGGAAACCTGAGGCTCTTTGCTTAACCTTTGGGGACTTTAAAACATTTGGTTTTTCCTACCCCATGGCCAGGTCCTGTTTATAGATCAGATTGGGCATGGGAGAAAGTATGAAGTCAAGGGAGGAAATGGGCATGCAATAGGGAAGGGAGGGAGATGGACCCAGAGAGTATTATGCTCAGCAAAATAGGCCAGGCGGAGATAGACAAATATCATATGATTTTACTTATATGTAGAATCTAAAAACAAAACAACATGAACAAAACAGCAGTAGACTCACAGACACTGAGGAAGGACTGTTGGTTATCATGAGGGAGGGTTGGGGCGGGTGCGTGGGGTGGCTGAGGGAGATAAAGAAGCACAAAAATCTCAATATAATATAAATTGGTTATGGGGACAGAAGTGCAGCATGGAGAATATAGCCAATGATTCTGTAATATCTATGTTGACAGGTAGTAACTGCACTAGGGTGAGGATTTAATAATGTAGGTAACTGTTGAATCACTGTGTTGTGCACTTGAAACCAATATAATATTGTATATCAACTATATTTCAATAAAAAAACTATACTTAAAAAAAAGTTCACTTTGCTGAATAAGAATATTTTAAAAGATAAGCCAGACATATTCTCCCTGCAATCAATTTGATTGAAAAGCAGAAGTACTACTTTCTTAAACACAGTTCATTTTTGTAAGTTGCTGTGACAGTATAATATGGAAAAAATAAGGCTTCCTATCAATGTAAGCATTTCTAGGGTGAATCTTATGCAAAAATGTGGACGTGCAACAATTCATGCCCTCATTTCTTTCAACCAGGTTAAAAAATCATGGCTCTGTAAGTTTCCAAGTTTCAATGTTTTCTTGTATCTTCTTGTTGTCGGGCATTCAGAGGTATGTCTTGGTTCTAATAGCCTTGGTAGAAACATGCTGAAAATAGAAATGAATATAAAACCTTTTGTCTTTAAGCTAATTTGGTATGGATTTGTGAGGCCTGAGTAAACTGGTAAATTAGTAAATTTCTTAAAATAATACAAATGACTGTAAGACACATAGGAAGAACAGTAGATTCAGAAAAAAAGGTTAGTATTGTATTCCCATGTTTTGTAAAAGACATTAAGGCCACCAATACAGGAATTGGGTTCCTCTTTTGGTTTTCTGTGGTGATTTCCTATCAGCTTCATGGTCTTGGACAGGGAGAAGCAAAACGCAAGATGGCCTTTGACTTTGTTTCCATCATGCTCAGCAGCGACACTGGCTGGATCTGGGCTCAGCGTTCTTGCAGTGTGTTCAACGTGGATGCTCTGACTGGTGGGGAGGACGTGGCAGTGGGCTGACGAGTGTGTCTGTGCGTGGAAGGGCTCATTGGGCGCAAGAGCCTCTGGGTGGAGGGGCTTCTCTCTGGCATGGCCTCCTCATTGGCTTGAGCTCGGTCGCAGAGCTTGGTCTCACCCTTAAACGGGGTGGGATGGGGGTCTCAAGCAACTTCAGAGAACTGAACAGCAGCTGTGACACTCCGGGCGGCATTTCTTCTTTTTCTTGGGGTGGAAAATGGTGAGGATTGCTTCATCAAAAACTGCTTTGAGGCCTTTCTGGGTCAGGGCCGAGCATTCCAAATAGCACTGTGCTCCAATCTTAAACACAAAAGAGAGAAAGGCATGAGAGGAAAAAGAGAAAGGCACAGGGTCAGCCCTCTGCCCAGCCAGGTGCTACCCCTGCGGCTCCCACAAACAGCCAGGGGGTTGGTTTGGAGTTTGTTTTTTTCCTTTTGCATTTCAATTCGCGTCTGCTCTCCTAATTTTTATATGTTTTACTTTCTGATATTAGTTGACACACAATATTATATGAGTTTCAGATATATAACATGGTGATTTGATAATTATATATATTATGAAATGCTTACCCCAGTAAGTGTAGTTACTGTCACCATACAAAGTTATTACAATATTAGCAACTATTCCCTATGCTCTATTGCTCATCCCCATGACTTATTTTATAATTGAAAGTTTGTACCTCTTTATCCCCTTCACCTATTTGCTTGCCCCCCATCCCCTCTCCCTTACAGCAACCACCAGTGTGTTCTCTGTACTTACGATCTTTGTCTGTTTTGTTTGTTTGTTTGTTCATCTGTTCTCTTTATTAGGCTCCACATATAAGTGAAATCCTATGATATTTGTCTTGGTCTGTCTGCCTTATTTCACTTAGCATAATATCCTCTAGGTCTAACCATGTTGTCTTGAAAGGTAGGATTTCATTCTCTTTTATGGCTAATATTCTATTCTATATGTATATATATATATATATATATATATATATAGAATATGTAAATATGTTCTCTCTCTCTCTCTCTCTCTCTATATATATATGTATATAATCTCACAGCTTTATCCATCTATTGATGGACACTTAGGTTGCTTCTATATCTCGGCTGTTATAAATAATGCTACAATAAACATAGTGTGCATATATCTTTTCAAATTGTCTTCTTTGGGTAAATATCCAGAAGTGGAATTACTGGATTGTATGGTATTTCTATTTTTAATTTTTTGAGGAAGCTCCATTTTGTTTTCCATAGTGGTTGCTTCGGTTTACATTCCCATCAACAGTGCACAAGGGTTCTCTTTCCTCCATATTCTCACCAACATTGGTTATTTCTTATCTTTTTGATATTAGCCATTCTGAGTGGTGAGAGGTGCTATGTCACTGTGGGTCTGATTGGCATTTCCCTGATGATTAATGATGTTGAACATCTTTTCTTGTGTCTGTTGGTCATCTGCATGTCCTGTATGTTTTAACATACTTTAAAAGGCATTTTTTAAGCAGTTAAGAAACCCAAAATATGTAAAAATAAAAATTATAAAATACATTTATGAACAGAGACACCCTCCCTGTTACTATACACTTTATGTGTATGGCAATGATAAAATATTCTGTGCTTGTGGGGAGAACAGTATAGCACAGAGAAGGCACATAGTGGATCTGTGGCTTCTTACTACGCTGATGGACAGTGACTGCATTGGGGTATGGGTGGGGACTTGATAATTCGGGTAAATGTAGTAAGCACATTGTGTTTTCATGTGACACCTTCATAAGACTGTATATTAATCATACCTTAATAAAAAATAAGTAAAAAAAATATTCTGTACTTGTTTAGGGCTTTACTTCAAACTTTTGATGATTTCATACTATGGTGTGTTTGATAATCACAAAATCTCTTTGAGAAATATAGAAATGCAGGCCAGAACATAAATTCTCACTTAAAAAACTGCAGATCAGAGCAGACCAAGTTTGGTAGTCAAATTCATGAGCTAGTTCATGAGAGGAAGACTTGGGGTTTTAACTGCTCATGAGTTCAGTATGAGCCAACAATGTGATTGTGAGCCTTTTATTATTAAGAGCACCTGGAGAAACACTTCTATTATATGCATCACATGATAAGAATAACTGAAAAATTAAAGCAGATTCTGAAGAGGTTGGCTAGATGGTGAGCTCCTGGGAAGCACAGCAGATAAATGACTAAAACAGGGCAGCAAAATCACATGCCTCTTACAGGGTCAGTAGCTTAAGTAGATGATAGAGCAGGGTAGGAGGCATCAGTAGGGAGAGGTGGGATCGCCGGGGACAGCGAGGCTCATGTTCCCTCTGGGGCTGCCGGTCTTACTCAGCTTTAGACAAGTGTTGCCATATGGGAATGTTGGTTCACTGTTGCCCATCTTTGTATTTTTCAAGAGGAATTGGACTTTTGGCTTTTGGGTTAATAATTACCAATTTTTAAAATATACTGTAGGCCAAGCAAGACAGTGATGTGGGATGTTTGGCAGCAACCAGCCAGTTTGCAACATGTGGACTAAAAGAACTTGTGGTTTAGCTTAAATAGTGTGAGAAAAGCCCAAGAAGGTAAAATGAATTGTTTCGGGACATCCAACTAGAAAGTGAAAGAACTGGGCCTAGAATCTGGGTCTCTTGCTGTGTGTTCTTCTACGTGTTCCATGGCAGTGGCTGTGACCCTTATCATTCAACTCTGAGAGAGGCTGGTCAAGTCGACAAGGAATGAGATGAGGTGGTCCACTCATTTGAAACCTGCAGACATGAAAACTAAGCATGACATAAATTGTTCTGGTTTGGGCAAGATATTATGCATTTGTTGCTCTTGTAAAGAATGGTTCCTTTGTGACCAAATGGAAAATACCCAGAGAAAGATTTTATGGTTTCATTTTGACCATGATTTGGCCTTTGCACTAGAAAATGGTTTTTTTATATGATTAAACACAATTGGAAAAAAAAAACAATTGGATGCAAGAGAAGAATTAATGGTAGAGAAAATTTTCCTAATAATGTCATGAAATGTCATCCGTTACATTTTGGGATTATGGCCCAGACTTGATATGAACATGCGAAAAGCACACCACTTGAATAATGTGCCAGCTCTGTCAGTCATCCTGAAAATATTCCCATAAAGTGCTGTGAGGCTGTTCTATTCCAGTGGAATACCTCCTCACTAATGATCACAAGCCTCAGTTGATTCTGGAAATTACAGGGGAGCTGTGCTGAGCTCTGCCCACACGTGGGGTTCTGAGCTGTCTGGTTCTGTGAGATGGGCAAGTGCGCTCTTTCTTTCCCCCAGAGGGCTGCTAACAGCATGTCAGAACTTTCCTTTTGATACTGTAGGAGGGACCCAAACTTGTCTTTCCCACTTCAGACATTTCTGAAGACAATGAAATAGTAGGTTAAGGCATTATTGTGTAACTGGGTTAATATAACATTATTTTGTACTGATAGTTCCCAGAAAAGTGGCAGACAGATTTTGGGTGTGATTTAGAAAATATGCGTGAGAAACAGAGCTCAGTAATGAGATGAGTATTGTTAACCATATATCAAGTATTCTGAGGGTCAGAGAGGAGAATTCATGCTGGTTCAAGGAAAAGACAGAGCCATGTTACAGGGGTTGCTAAAAAAGCCATTTGTGCCCTTAAAGATGCAAAAAGGAAAACCGTCCAAAGGAAACATGGCTTTTCTTATATAAGCAACTTCATCTGGCTCTTTGAACAAAGTGACTTGACCAGTCAAGCCTTAGAACCACTCCGTAAAGGCTCAGGATTCTTGGATCCTTGTTTAGATACACATGTTAGCCATCTGAAATATACTTTACTGAAATGATTTATTTTCAAGAAAAAATAGAGATTGAGGAATATAAACTAAGAAAACATTTTTTCTAATAACTCTATAGTAACTAAAAGGTATTGCCCCAAAGCTGGGAAGTTTATCAGAGGTGGACAGAACATACAAGAATCTGAAAAGAAGAAATTAAAAACCAAAGAAACAGCAAGCAAACCCACAATAACTAAGCAAGTAGAAGGAACCCTAGTGCTGCCTCCAAGTCATCCTTGTGGAGGTGAGAGCTGCTACAGAACAGGAGAGAGTGTGACTGAAGGAATAAAAGTGAAGAGGTCTTCGTAGCTGCAGACACATCTGGGATAGCACCCAGACTGATGACTAGACCTGCTGAACTTGACCTCAGGGCTCACTGGCTCACTGACTCCTCATAGGAACTCTGTGAGGTAGGTCTACCACCATCCTCATCTGTAGCTTAGAAAACTGAGGCCCAGAGAAGTTAGGTAACCTCCATAAGGCCACATGGCTAAGCAAATTTCAGGGATTTGAATTTCTGTCTCCTGAGCTGTAGTTTTAACTGCTCTGTTGGGCTGCCTCTAGGAAATGTAAAGAAATGTGGCTGAAAGAACAAAACTAATGAACAAATAGAGATGTTGTTATGAACTCTGTGAGGATGAGAGAAGAGGGGGTGAAAGTAAGGTATTTCCTGTGAATGGAGAAAAAAGATGTTAGAGTACACAGTAAGCTGGTGTGTAAGGAATCAGCAAATAACAGAGAAGTTTTTTATTTCTTATTTAAGAATTAGGAAAGGTACACAGAAAGGGCAATTTGAGCACCAAGGAGAGGAAAAAGAATCTAATACTTGTGAAAGAAATTTCATCTCAATAAATCAGCATTATGATCAAATCGCTAAAGGGGAGAAGTGTTTCTAGGCTGGGTGGGTTTGCTGCTGATTTTTCTCAACACTATAAAGCAAAGATGACCAGCTCACAGGTGGATAATATGGGTGTGCTGCTTGAGTTCGGTTGATAGGGACGGGTGGGGGTTGTGGCAAACTGAAGGGTACATACTTTGTCTAGAAGACTGATTAAAGGTTGCAGCTGATAAGCAAATGCTGGCCTAGTGTTGCCAGACCTTCTGATGGTTTGAGAAGCCAGAAATGTGAATATTTATGTGAAGTTTCCAAATTGTTCAATGTTGGCCATAATTTAAATCACATTAAAAATACCTGTGTGGACTGGTCAAAACATTTGTGGGTAAATTTGGCCCATCACTTCCCAGGGGTGCTCCCTGTGTTTTAAAGGATACCTTTGCAGGTATCCGTCTCCCTATTTGGAACTTTTTCCCCTCAGTTCCCTAACTTAATCTACTGACAAACTTGTCCTTAGCTTCAAACCTGGCTCAGATATTAATTGCTCCAGGAAATTGTATCTTAATCCTTCTCCCCTGAATATGTCCGCCAGACCCTCCTCTCTGCTTCCTGGGTACTCTGTGCATGTTTGCGGTCAGATGCATTCAGTTGGTGTGCTTTTGCTGTCCCCTCTTTTGGCCTCTGTGCCTCTTGAGGACAGGGCTGTCTCTCACTCATCTCTGCACCCTGCGGTGAAGCGGCTGATGTTCAGTGACCAGGGGAGATAGAGGAAATGCCGACACATAAAACAGGAGGGGTGATGGCGACTTTCACAGTCAAGAGGACAGCATTAAAGACTCCAGTTGATTAACGTGACTGAACCTTAATTACATGATTTTTGCAGCAATTTTGCTGCTTTAAACCCCATTGGAGCATGTTAAAAACCCCACAGCAAACAGGTGCTAAGACAAAGAGGACAATAAAAAAGGAAGGCACAGGGTGGAGAAGGTTGCTAAGCAGGAGGGGGCACGAAAGAGGCCAGGGACCAAAGAAGGAAAAAATGGTTAAGTGTTTTATCAAGAAATGTTTTAGGAATTCTGAACTTAGAAAATCATGTTTAGGGGGTATCAAGTGGAGTTGGGAAAAGAGTAACCTTGGGCTGAAATGTAACATAGCATCTGGCACATATTAGGTGTCCAACCAATTATTGTCAAATAAATCCAGTAGCAGTATGGACATACACAGAGGAGTAAAGCATGGGAAAAGTAGGCAGATGATTAAAAAACACAATAATGAAAAGAAGAGGGAGGGTAAAACAAGTGAAAGGATAACAATGAATACGTATTACAAATTTTTCCAAAGTATTTATGTTCACACGGGTGACTTTGGACTGTAGAGAATTGTAAATCTGTATGATATGAAAAATGCCCTTTGAGACCAAAAAGAGATCGATGAATGTTGTGGCAAACTGAAGGGTACATACTTTGTCTAGAAGACTGATTAAAGGTTGCAGCTGATAAGCAAATGCTGGCCTAGTGTTGCCAGACCTTCTGATGGTTTGAGAAGCCAGAAATGTGAATATTTATGTGAAGTTTCCAAATTGTTCAATGTTGGCCATAATTTAAATCACATTAAAAATACCTGTGTGGACTGGTCAAAACATTTGTGGGTAAATTTGGCCCATCACTTCCCAGGGGTGCTCCCTGTGTTTTAAAGGATACCTTTGCAGGTATCCGTCTCCCTATTTGGAACTTTTTCCCCTCAGTTCCCTAACTTAATCTACTGACAAACTTGTCCTTAGCTTCAAACCTGGCTCAGATATTAATTGCTCCAGGAAATTGTATCTTAATCCTTCTCCCCTGAATATGTCCGCCAGACCCTCCTCTCTGCTTCCTGGGTACTCTGTGCATGTTTGCGGTCAGATGCATTCAGTTGGTGTGCTTTTGCTGTCCCCTCTTTTGGCCTCTGTGCCTCTTGAGGACAGGGCTGTCTCTCACTCATCTCTGCACCCTGCGGTGAAGCGGCTGATGTTCAGTGACCAGGGGAGATAGAGGAAATGCCGACACATAAAACAGGAGGGGTGATGGCGACTTTCACAGTCAAGAGGACAGCATTAAAGACTCCAGTTGATTAACGTGACTGAACCTTAATTACATGATTTTTGCAGCAATTTTGCTGCTTTAAACCCCATTGGAGCATGTTAAAAACCCCACAGCAAACAGGTGCTAAGACAAAGAGGACAATAAAAAAGGAAGGCACAGGGTGGAGAAGGTTGCTAAGCAGGAGGGGGCACGAAAGAGGCCAGGGACCAAAGAAGGAAAAAATGGTTAAGTGTTTTATCAAGAAATGTTTTAGGAATTCTGAACTTAGAAAATCATGTTTAGGGGGTATCAAGTGGAGTTGGGAAAAGAGTAACCTTGGGCTGAAATGTAACATAGCATCTGGCACATATTAGGTGTCCAACCAATTATTGTCAAATAAATCCAGTAGCAGTATGGACATACACAGAGGAGTAAAGCATGGGAAAAGTAGGCAGATGATTAAAAAACACAATAATGAAAAGAAGAGGGAGGGTAAAACAAGTGAAAGGATAACAATGAATACGTATTACAAATTTTTCCAAAGTATTTATGTGCACACGGGTGACTTTGGACTGTAGAGAATTGTAAATCTGTATGATATGAAAAATGCCCTTTGAGACCAAAAAGAGATCGATGAAAAATGCTTTGGAAAATGAAAAATATTGAACAAAGGGAATCGGATTCTGAAAAATCTGAACTCGCACAGCATTTAAGCTCTAGTGAGAATATACACATTAAAATACAGGACTTCAGTATATATATAAAAAGAAGCCCCAAACCTAAGGGTTTCTCTTCAGATTTTAGGAGGGAAGCAGAAGAGAGTGGTGGTTACAGCACAGTTTCATATCCTAGGAAGCTCTGCCACTTCCTAGCTGGGTGACCTCAGCCTCTCTGAGCCTCAGTTTCCTCTAGGACAGCAGGAATAATAGTATACACACCTCAGGGGGTTGCTGTGAGGATTAATTAAGACAAGGCATGTAAAGTGCTTGGCACAAAGCACACTACAAACACTGCATAAATGTTAGCTGCTTTTATAAACTTGACAGCAAAGTCAGGGAGCGGAGAGACTTAAAGCGTCTCTATAATTACATGAATTGTGATGAAACAAGTTAAACTCTTGCTTGGTTTTCTTCTAAATTGGATTTTGTTAGCTAAACATAATTCTCTCTGTATCTGAGAGCAGTTGCTAGGAGAAACTGGCAAAAAGGCAATAAAGTGATGATCTCAGCCATTGTTCCTAAAATAAGTATGAAATGAGATGGGAGGCTTTGGAACGATTTCTTTCAGAGGGGAGAAACAACGTCCCAAATGGGAAGTCAGGCTAGGTTGCTGACAGGATGATGGTGGGAGACAGGACAGAAGCAAGGGACACCGAGACCAAGCTCCTGCAAAAAAAGCTGGTGCTGAGCCTTCTAGGCCTCCTTGTTGTGTAGCTAGGTATCATATACAATTATTTATAAAGCTATGTGTTTATGTACCTTAGTGAGAGAATTTAAGCTGACTGTTTGAGGAAAAGGTAGAAGAACCTATAGGCATACACCCATTTTACAGGAGGAAAAATAAATGGTTGGAGGAGATAGTTTACACAACAGTCAGGGACACAGGGGTGATGTCCACAGAGCTGGGTTAGACTTGTTTGACTGTGTTACTATCAGTTGTGTGAATCAAACATGTTTATCTTCCTAAGACTCTGTTGCCTCATCTGTTAAGAGACAAATGCTATCTTCTTAACAGGGTTGACATGAGGCAGAAATGAGACAGAGCTTATGAAGTGCTTAGTATTCTAAAAACTTGATGAATGGCTCGTTCTGGTAGTTCCAATATTACTATTCATAGAGGTAGGAAGTGTTTAGTCTCTTAAGTATTTGTGAGATGTTCTCATGTATCGCATCCACAAAAACAGTTTTATTTGGTTCATTTCTATTTGAGGGTATCACTTAGTTTTGGTGCCTATAAGAAAGTTTTAGTAAAAGAAATAGGTCCATTTCAATTCATGGAGAATTTATACTTAATATTATTCTTGACTGGTTTCAAAGAATGACTCCTGACTCTGCCTGGGGATGCATTTTGCAGGGTCATTGGGTTTATGCCTCAATCAGCGAGGAAGTGGACTAGGTCACGGAAATGATTTGTAAGCCTCCTCCATCACAAATGACCTCACCCTCTTGTGTCCATTTTAGTGTCTGCTTTTGCACACATCTTGGTGGTAATTTGCTCTAAATAATTTCCCCAACAAAATCACTATTTATGTTGAATGTTCAACTTGCAAGAATGAAGAAAGGTCTGTGGAAACAGCTCCAAATGTGAGCAAGTTGCTCGTATCTGTCAAGTAGCCACTTGTATTCTCCAATTAGTTATCTTTCCGTCTATGTTAGTGTTCTAGAGGTTGTTTGTGACGTAATCTAGCCTCTCTAAAGGGCCATTCATTACATGGTGAGAAATATCGAACAAATATAACCCTGCAAGATGCTAATCAAAGTTTCTTGCAAGTAAATCACAAAATGCCTTTTATGGGGTCATTTAAGTGAATTACACTGATAATAAGCAGTGAGATATACAAATATATATCTAATGACTTCCTTTATTCATACTAAATTTGGCATGTGGATTTTCTGAAGGATGCTAATACAAATGATAAGTGCTTTAGCTGTTTAAATTCACCAAGTTTCATTCTTAACGAGAAACAGACAGTACTGGTTGACAAGAACACTAACCAAATGGTCCCCTCCAGCCTTACTGGAACAGAGAGCGGGGTACAAAGCAGAGAAGATTCTGAACACACTGCACTTTAAAGCAAAAGCCTACATAGCTTACCCATCCCACAGCATACACCAAACTCCCCTCAGCATACATTTAAAATTAAATTCAAATCTGACTGTACCGCCTTTGCAAGCTTCACACCATGCTCATAAGTGAGAGGTTTCTCTTTCATATACAGCAAGCGGGCCAAGGTTTTGGGGTCATCGCGGAGATCAATCTGGTAAAAAATACAGATGGGATGAACTCATTTATTTTTTTCAGAACTTACCAGATACTTTAAACTGTGATGCACAGTTGACCCAGTGCAGGGTTAGGGGTACTGACTCCCCCATGCAGTTGAAAATCCACATATAACTTTTGATTCCCCAAAACTTAACTATTGACTTATTGCTGATCAGAAGAAGCCTTACTGATAACATGAACAGTGTGATTAACATGTATTTTTTGTTAAGTGTTGTATACTGTAATCTTAAAGTAAGCTAGGGGAAGGAAGATGTTTTTTCAAATTTTCACAAATCTTAAAACATTTTTCAAATATGTTTATCGGAAAAAATCTGCATGTAAATGTTACCACACAGTTCAAACTTATGTTGTTCAAAGATCTGCTGTAGTAGAGATGTTTTTCCCACTTAACAAAATATGAAGTGGCCATATTTTTTTTACAGAAGCACATATGGATGCCCATATTATGTCTAATAAAGTGATTTCTTTGTAAATGTAAATATCAGATTTTCCACGTGCATTCCCTTTAAAGCAATCACCCTGTAAGCAGAGAACTTCAATGATTCTGTGGCAGTTTCAGGTGTTTTTGGTATTTTCTGTTAATTTTGGGACCCCCAAGTATAGATAAAAGATGATCAATCAGCCTTATTACCTTGCAGAGATGCCTTATTTGAGCTATTTGAGCCCAAGTTATTACTCATTTTTTAAAATAGTTTATTTCCTGACTCTGAATACACTTTTTTTTTTTTACTTTTCCAAACCAAATATTCACCCTCAAAGGGATGAAGATATGCCCCCTGTGAGGATAGTCTAATGACTGCTGCAGGCTCTGGAGGCAAGTCCTGAGGAGGAATTTCCAAAGGACTTGCTGAAGGAATAAGCATTAATGTTTTCACAGATAGAACGACTTTGAAAATAGCATATATGTTTAGATTAGCTTTGATAATTTAATTAAATACTTTGGTTGCTTTAAAATCTCACTGTGTTTGTGAGCCTATGTGTACATGAATGAGTGTTAATGTGGGCACATAAAGGCTTGTGTTTTAAAGAAAAACCATATATTCATATATCAGGGTCCCATTTATAACCACATTGCTGAGCTTTACTAATTTGTGTGATTTTTCTTTTTTTGGCCTTAATTGTTCAACATAGTGCCCATCAGTTATAAAACAGGCTTAAATCACACAAAGATGTTTGATGTGCCATCACATATTTTGGAATCAGGGACTCGGGCTCCACCAATAATGTCAAACACTGTCATCAGGAATCAAGGCAAAAGATTTCATTTAAACCAATGCATAAGTATCTTTCAGAGCAGAAGCATGAACTGTACTCTGTTTTATGAATTTTGATTATCCACATCTCCTCTAGGAAATATTTTTTTCATTTATTTATTTTTAAAATTACTCTTTGTCAAGCAGAATGTAAGGTGAGAAATAGAGAGGCAAGAAAGCCCTTCAGTGTTACTACTCTGCCTTTGGATAGTGATTTAGGTTTTAACATATCAAAGAACAAAATTCTTTAAAACTATGAAAAGTTGGAACAATCTTTAATACATTTCTGCTTACCATTAGAAATTCAAATTATGGAGTTTATTAGCTTTCAAGATATGTTAGAGGCTTTTACAAGTCGCTGGTTTGTTTATGTGGTATATTGGTTTTAACTTTTCTAGGATCTGGAAGATCAAGGTGCTCAAAGGAAATGGAGGAGAGAGAATCTGTCTTCCTTCTCTGGGGGTGTTGTGGAGGAGTTTCTGTCATAATGCTCCCATTCTGATTCTGTGGCCATTTGACATTCACACCTATTTTGTAACTTTCAAACAATTGTGGATTTCAGATACAGAAAATTTTAGGTAAAAGTGTAATAGACATCTCCACCTTATTCCTCTGGTTCAGGGCTGGAGGAGGGTGTATATTTAAAAAATAACTTCATTTGATAATAAAAAGCTGAGAGATTAATTTTTAAAGGCCGCATCAAAACTTCCTGCTTACTATTAAATAGCTGTTGTCTTGTCAACTATGGGCTAAATAATCATATAGATCTTAAGAATGGCTGTTTATGGGACAGATACATCTCAGATACTCAGGTGTTTGGTAGAAGAGAAAATTCAAGAAATTTCTAGAAGGTCTTTCCTTTTTTGCTGTGTCCCGCCCCACCCACCCCACCCTGCCATCACCAGCCTTTTAACCTGGGTCCCTATGAGGACGTAAGGCACGTGAGGCATGCAGTCCTTCAGCTCTGGGACCCATTCCTCCTGGACGTTGTGGTAAGAGGCAGGATTTACGACAGAGAAGCAGATCAAAAACACATCAGTGTTGGGATAGGAGAGCGGCCTCAGTTGGTTGTAGTCCTCCTGCAGGAAGAGCAGAGAGTTTGAACAGCCCGGGTAAGAGGGTCTCCTGTGGCTCCACGGAGTGACACAGGCAAGATTCCACTGCGGGGCCCCGACCAGTTCCTGCCCCTGCCCTGGAGTCCGGTGGTTCCCTTTACATAGTACTAGAAATAAAGGAGCCATCAGTCAGAAAAACCCTTTTTTGTTGTGTATAGAGATTATGAATTGGTCTAAGAGGAGCTTAAAAAATATTTTTAACAGCTTTAGTGAGATAATTTACATACCATAAAGTGTACCCATTTACTGTGTCTCATTCACTAAGGATTATTACAATTTCTCCTGTCACTTTGGAATTGTGTTGTATTGAATATAGACAAACTAGCGGGCCATTGGCCAAGGCACAGAAATCTGTCCATATATGATTTAAAAAATTTTGTAGAAATTTAATTTAGAATAAGCTAACTAAAATGCAAAGCAAAGAGTTGTTGTCAATCATGCGCTACAATATTTGAAGAAATATATTTTGAGAGGGTTTAGAGCTTAGAATTTGGGATTTGTTTCCAAGTTTACCTAGAGGTCATAGTGTGGCCTAATAAATAAAATGCCAGATTATTTTCTCCCCCAAAATTTACGTGCAGACCAGAATATAAATGGAAGAGTCATGGTTGGAGAGTTCCCTGCTGCAGGAGGCGTGTCTGCATGTTCTGTTTTGGGGGGCGATGATAAAGACAAAATACAACACTGGCTCATCTCAACTTCGGGAAAATATCTCAAAGTCTCTTTTATGGTATGTAAAATGTTTTAGTAGGTTTAAGGTAAAATCTGCTATTGTGATAGGAGATTTTATATATTCATAGAATTTAGTAACATAAGCAAAAAGTAATTTTATGTGTATTTATATTACACATATGTACATACTACATTACATACATGCCCTCACACACTACAATGTGACATATGTACTCATACACACACTTCACATATGTATACATATTACGCACATGTACACATAATACATGCATGGGGCAAACAACCAAAGCAATCTGTCCATATTTATCACATACATGTGTACACAGACATGGGCAACATATCAACTCATTTATTAGGGTCCTGACTACTCTTCCTAACATTTAAAAAAATTATAAATCTCATATAAGCTCACTGTAATAATTCAAAAATGACATATAGTAGAAAGGAATTAGTATTCACCCCCTATCTGATCACTAGTAGTTTTTCCTTTCTTCCCAGAGGGAGCCATTACTTAACAGTATCCTTCCAAGTATTTTATATTTACCTATGTAAATACATGTTTACTTTAAGAAAGGTAAATTGATTATATAGTTCATATTGTTGTGCCACTTAAAAAAACCTAATATGTCATGGATATTTTAAAATAGCAACCTTGCTATCTTTCTATTGTCTCTAATACTGTCTTTATAAGGAGTACACATAAACATGTATACATATTTTGGGGAAAATGGAAGTTCCTATGGCCAGGATCCTCACCTCACCCTAAACTGCTTGCTGATGTAACTGGCCTACTGCTAGGCTGCTGCTTCCACACCCTAGGCAATGAGCGTTTACTGACCGAGTCACTATATAAAGTGCTCTGCCCAGTGCTCTGGGCGGAGGCGGAGACGGAGGTGGATTACAGATCTACAGACTGTTGGATGTGGACGTGATTCTAGTACTTGACCTGCCACCGTGAGAATAAAGCTGGGTATAAACCCTTTTACCCCAAGAATGTTCTGTTGTCATTTCTCAGTCTCACATTAGGGTTTAGAGAAGTTCAGTAATGGACCAATGTTGCAGAGCTATTAAATACCAGGGTGGAATATTTAGCCTGAAACAAACTCTAACTCTGAATTGTGAACCTTTTTTTCCCCTCAGCTAAGAATTTTAAGTGACAGAATAAGTATCTTCTTGAGATTTCAGCTATCTAGGAATCTTAATATAGACTCATGCTTTACTCAGGGATCTAAGAAAACTTGCCCACAGCAAACTTGCTTGGGGCTGAGACCCTCAGGCAAGACACATGTGACTGAAAGGAAGTCCCTTAGAGTGTTAAGTGTGGTCAACTCTGGTGGGCGGCACGCACAGATCTATTGTTTAGCTACTGCAGCCATGTGAACTTAGCTGGCACACAGGCTCAGTTCACATGGCTGCAACTATTACTATTGCTAATACTACTAAAACTTAAGCAAGGCTTTTAATTACCTAAACAAAATGCAATGTAAGATGGCAATGATGCTGAAAAATCCTAAAGAAAACTTAAAAACATTTTAAAATTCAGTTTTTGTGGCTCATTTACTACAGTTCCATTAAAGCAAATAAGTGGAATTTGGGTGGATTGCTTGGGTGCAATGAGTAAACGTTGGTTATCCTGGGCCAGGCCTAGTGGTTGCATCTCAGCTGAGTTGTGCCTAATCTGTGTGTTGGTTGGGGGTGGGCAGTGTGGTGGGAAAGAGGACAGTTCATCTTTTGTCACTATTATGTCCTTTTTACACAACTAGCCCTGTAAGCCAAGCCTCTTCCATGGTCTCTCTCTGCCTCTCTGTTTCCTATCTGGCGCTTTTCCTTATGGAGCAGCTGTGAGGCCCACAGGCCAAGCACTCTCCTTCCCAGGCTGTAATCTGTGACTGTTCACACCATCATACCACTTGCACTCTACCACTCCATCCTCCCATCTGGATTTTCATAACTAGATCAGGGACTGTGTTCGTTTTTTTCTCGCTCCCCACTTGTATACTCTGTCTACAGCCAATACTCCATAAATGCTGTTGACTGCTTGGATGCTGGGTCTGCAGTAACCTGCAAATGAATGCGTGGTTTTCCTGTGGGTCATTTACAGCAGAGTTGTCATTAGGATCACCTTGGGAGCTTTAAGGGCCATCCTGAAGTTCTGTTAGCTGACCACCTGCTTCTTCCCCACACTCTGGGGCCAATGAAATCAGAATCTCTGGAGAGTGGGCCTGGGTATTTGGGTATTCTGATTTAATTGGTTTGCAGTTGGCACGGACTTGAGAACAGCTGAATTGCCTTATCTTCATCTTCACCATGAACCGGAGGATGTATCAAGGGCTTAATACCCAGGCATTGTTTCAAGCATTATCTTGTTGAAGACTCATAATAGCACTGGAATGATGATGCCATCAGCACCCACATTTATAAAAGAGGAAGTTAGGGTTTAGAGAAGTTCAGTAACAGACCAATGTTGCAGAGCTATTAAATACCAGGGTGGAATATTTAGCCTGAAACAAGCTCTAACTCGAATTGTAAGCCTTTTTTTTCCCTCAGCTCAGAATTTTAAGTGACACAATAAGCATCTTCTTGAGATTTCAGCTATCTAGGAATCTTAATATAGACTCATGCTTTACCCAGGGATCTAAGAAAGGCAGTGTTAGGCCGTGTGGGTTTGTATTTCATGGCCTGCATCTGCTAGAAATTTCCACCAGATGGCAGCAGATACTGTCTATTTAAAACCTCAAAGGCCTCCTCTCACCACCTCCCCCTCCCCCCCCCACACACGAAGAAATGTCACAAAGAGATGCGGTAGGAGCAAACAACTGGGAGTCTGAAAGGATCATGTTTGATTCTTTTCCCAGAAGCTATTAGAGGAATTCTGCTTATATGGAAAAGTTAGGAAGACCATGGTTTGCGGGTCCGATGGAAAGAAGGAAAAGGAGAGGAGCTGGGTGTTTGGCAAGCGGGCAAGCCTTCCAGCTGAGGGATGCCACCTGCGCCCTTCGCTGGGCTTTCTCCTGTTCCCTGTCCCAGACCTCTCTTCTGTGGAAACCTCAGTCTTGTTGTGTAATTCCATTTAAAAATATTTATTAATTGCCAGCTGAATGTGTAGCACCGTTAAGGATGCTATATAAGGTGAATAGGAATTGGCAATCCAGTTTGGGGAAAGAAAATGAAAATATGGGAAACAATTCAGTTTTTGTGAGAGTGAGACAGGTGCAGTGTGTTTTGCTCTTTTTTTGCTCTCTGATAACAGAATAATGTAGAATATTTATTTGACTGAATTGGAAAAATACCATTTCAAGGATGGTGTTACCGGGAGCTGGTTAGGAAGGCATATTTTCAGGCCCTGCCCGGCCTCCTTGAAGCTGAGGTCCTGGGGGAGGGGCTGTGCCATCTGTGTCTGGGCAAGCCCTCCACGTGACTCTGTTGCAGCTCAAGTTTCAAAACCACAGGTTACTGTGCTTTCCTTTCCCCCCACCTAATTTTATAGTTTAAGGAACTGTAGAGAAAATGAAAGTTTCAATGACCAGGATTCTCAACTGACCCTGGTCAGCTTGCTCACTGCACACGTATGGGCAATACGTTATTTGTTATCGACTCTGTGTGAAGAGCTCTGCCCAGTGGTCTGGGCTGCACAGCTACAGGGAAGCAGAGGCTGGAGTGGGGGCAGCGCTGAGGACAGAGACTGAGAGGCAGAGATCAGCTTGCTGTAATGCAGACTTGCTGTGAGGTGGACAGATTCTAGCACTTGACCTGACACTGAGAATAAAGCTGGGTATAAATGCTTTTACCCCAAGAACATTCCATTGTCATTTTTCGATCTCACGAATCAAGGGTGAACTTGCCTGGGACTGAAACCCACTGGCAAGACAGAAACCAAAGTCTGGACAGGTTTCCACCTCCCCCTCCCCCCCCCACACACGAAGAAATGTCACAAAGAGATGCGGTAGGAGCAAACAACTGGGAGTCTGAAAGGATCATGTTTGATTCTTTTCCCAGAAGCTATTAGAGGAATTCTGCTTATATGGAAAAGTTAGGAAGACCATGGTTTGCGGGTCCGATGGAAAGAAGGAAAAGGAGAGGAGCTGGGTGTTTGGCAAGCGGGCAAGCCTTCCAGCTGAGGGATGCCACCTGCGCCCTTCGCTGGGCTTTCTCCTGTTCCCTGTCCCAGACCTCTCTTCTGTGGAAACCTCAGTCTTGTTGTGTAATTCCATTTAAAAATATTTATTAATTGCCAGCTGAATGTGTAGCACCGTTAAGGATGCTATATAAGG